TAATATATTACAAAATTAATAATGAAATTATGTAATAATAGTATAAATTGTGATTTTATGGATAATTAAATTCAATAAATAAATAATGTTTTAAAATTTAAATATTTTACATAATAATTTAAGTATTTAAATAACTAATTGTTTTAAATGACAAAATATTTAACATAACTAGATTTTAAATAGTTAAAATAAAGAAATTATGTAAGAAATTTTAAAAAATTCTAAAAAGTAGAAAACAATTATAACATAATAGTGAAATTAATATTTTTACATAATATTGTAAATAATTAATTTCATGTATATCAAGTAATAATTTGAGAAAATAACTTTCAAAAAAATTAATATTTATTAATAATAATTTTAAACTCTTAATCTGTATTTATTATATAATTATATATGCTAAAATTAATATTTATTGTATTTCAGTAATTATTTATTGTTTTTTGTGATAAATGTATTTTCAATAATCATGTATAAATTTATTTTGTTTTGTTATTTAACAGAAAACTTTCAATAATTATTGGAGATTAAATTACTATTATTGAAATTTTAAACTTAATTTATTGTACTTATTGCATTTTTGTTATAAGTTATTGATTAATATTAGAGATTAAACTATTATTTGAAATTATACTATTTATTGACTAAATATATTTTTAGTACTTATTAAACTTATTGGAGATTAAACTTTGTACGATTTTGGACTGGCACGACACGACACGACACGACAGCCCATGGGTCATGCCAGGCCTGGCACGATGGTCCGTGCTATGCTAGGCCAAGGGTTTTAAGTCCACAGGCTGACACGGCACGACATGATCAAGCAAGCCATTCCGTCTGTGGCCCGCGGCCCGGATAGGCCCATATGTACTATTTATATATATACATAACATCTATATATTTTATATATTATAATATATTATATAAATTATAATTATACAATAATATATAGTATATAATATATTAATAAAATAAATAATTTTTTTTCAATTTTATTATACTAATTTATTTAATTATTGTATATATAAGCAATTGTATACATCAAAATTCATATAAAATTAAAATTCTATTTTTTTTTTCAAATTTTTAAATAAATAGACAAAAATAGCTTTGGCCCAGTCCATGGCCCGATTTGGGCCAAGGCTTACCCCATGGGTCAATCCAGCCCACGACACGGCATGACACAGACCCACGCAAACCTGGACCGTGGGCCGTGTCGGGCCGACCCCCCAAAATTTTCACCAAGGAGGATGGCACGGCTGCACTTTTTCGCTGGCCACCTGGCCCACTTTACACCTCTAGATATACCCCGATACGTTAGAAGGGATGTGTTGACACTTTGAACTTCACTCGTTATATTAATTTTGATGTTTCTCTTTCAAAGTTTGAATTTGAATTTATTTATAAGTGTTTTTATTATTAAAAGGATTCTTTAAAATACCTTAAAATAAGTGTATTGGCATCTAAAAAATACGATACGGTATACCTAATATAAGGCAATACCCATATGGAAATTTTGAACCTTGAGCAGTATAAACCAACTTCAGTCTTTATGGGGTGTTCTGTGTTCACCAGAATGAAATTTGCTGATGTGAGGAACTGCTTTGGATGACAAATAGACCAAATTAAATATAATTTACATTTCAGAAATTTAAAAATAAAAATCTATAGTAAGACCCTCGCTGGCCGGTGGCCGGGATACAACCTGGGTCGGGCGGAAGTTGGGTCGGGTAGGTTAGATATTGGATCGGAGTTGGTTAGGGTTGGTGAGTGTGAACCCAAATTAAAATTGAGTGGAAGATAGAACATGGGATTAGGATTTAGGGTTAATACTTCAAGCAAGGAATCCTATCAGAATCCAATGTGTTGCACTAATATGTACATATGAACCTATAACATTCCAAAATGTCTGTCTACGAGTAGGATTCTATCAACAGGTTGCGTTCGGTATGATAGGGGTGTTAATTGGATTGGATTTGGTCCAATCCGATCCAGTTTAATGTGAATTTATTATAAATAGATCAGATCTAATTCAATTCAATGAATATTTTGGATCATTTTGACTTGGTCCAATTTAATGTTTGGACTGTTTAATTTGTTTATTTTTTTTAATTTAAATTAATTTTAATCCAAACCTAGTTCATTGACACCTATATTCTTATCTTTTCAATGGACCAAATGTTGGCTCAATTCAACTCAATCCAATATAAATTCATTACGGATGGGCCAGGTCCAATTCAATCCAATAAATACTTTAGACCATTAAACCTAGATTAATCCAATTCAATATATCTTGTTGGTCCATCTAATCCTTCCAAATTGATTTTTGGAACCCTATGTGGTATAAGTTCAATCCAATACCAATCTACTCAATTCAGTCTTTTAATTGTATTTTTTATAACATATTTGGAAATTTTAACTGAAATTTGGGTTTTAATGTGTCACTTTCTCTATGTTGAAAGAAAATTCAAACAAACTTGAAAAGACATCCCAAAGTTTAAGGTTATGATGTTAGAATCAGACCTGGCCATCAGATGGGGTTGGATTCAGATTAGATCCCAAACATGAAAAGACATCCCTAACTTTAAAATATTCATGTTAGAGTTGACCCATGTATCAATGGTTCAACTGTCCGAATCAATTGATCTTTGATCAAGTTAATGAATTTTTTATCAAAAATATGGATTGGACCGTAATGTTTGAATAACTCAACTGCCTGCCTCAATGCTGATTGGAAAAAGAGGTGACTCGACAGTGTCCCATGACCCAACCCCTCCTATCCTAGGTCGCTCAACTGCCTGCATCAACCAGAAACCAAAACCCTGATGTAGGTGCGGTGGATCCAGATGTAAAACCAGGAGTACTGCCATACATTACTGGATAGGGATGTCAATTGGACCAGATTGGATTGGTCCATTTTGAATCAGGTCCAATCCAATTCGATGAATAATTTGGATCATTTTGGACCAATCCAATTCAATATCTAGACCATTTAATATATTCAAATCGATTTTAATTTAGATTGGTTCCAATCCAAACCTGATCTATTGATATATATATTCTTCTATCAATGGACCGGATATTGATTCACTTTCAATCCAATATAAATCTATGGACCAGGTGCAATAAATACCTTGGACCATTAAATCTGGACTGATCCAATTCACTGTGTCTTATTGATCCATCCAATCTGTTCAAATTGGCCTTGATTTGAACGGAATTCAACCCAAAACCAATCTATTGACACCTCTGTTACTGAAAACGAGGTCGATCTGGGTGCATCCATCCAAGGCACAAAATCTACATTGGTGATGAGGACCCCATAACCTGCATGCTTACCATGTGAGAAGGCACTAGTATTACCTCTCGTACAGACAAAGCCTGAATGATTCGTTGTATGTTCTTGTACAACGGCCAAATTCCTTTCCCCTTTGTGGGCATGTTGGCCCACTCCATAAACTAGCACGATATCTGCCCAACCCATGAGAAATACAGGCCTAGCGTCCAAACAAATCAGGACCCACTGAAGATTAACCGGCCCATAACCTGCAATAACTAACAAGTCTCATTCCAACCTTTTTCTCTTTACATGAAAAGCTCAAGTCCCCCACACTCTGAAACCGCTCCGTCTCTGCACGTCGCGACTTGCAGATCTCTTGCAAATCGCACAACCGTTTCCTCTCTTTATTTAGAGAGAGCTTTTATTGGATTTTAATTTCATAAAAGATTAAATTCACCGGATCTGATTGGTCAATTATATGAGAAATTGCATCTGCATACTTGATTGAAAAATTATATTCTCTTATAAAACTCAGTTTTGAATTTGTCCTACATTGGAAAATTATAAACTTTATTTTTATTATTGTAATAGGAGCTGATTTATACTCAGAAATAGTAGAGGAGAGTATGGGAGTTTGATACTGTGCAACGCACACGCATGCGTGTGTGTAGTGCAATGAGGCGCTTTAAAGGCGCAATGAGATGCGATGCTAACCGTTGATCACCATTGATGAGATAAATGGTCACAATTTGATCGAGTATGATCAATAGGCACAATTCAAAGTTAATAGTCATTAACTATTAACTACTTTTTAAACAGTTCAAGATGTATTCTCTAAACTAGCCCCTACATTTTCTTCACCGCTACATTTTCTTCATACATTTTCATAAATTATTTAAGGAGCATGAATCACACTTCAAAATCACACATTTTCGAAATCCATTTTTTTTCTCTCTCTCAGTCCGGTCTGCTACAATTTCACAGAAGATTTATTCAGAGATTCTTCAACTTTGTTGGTTGCAGATTCTCGCCCAAGGCTCTAGGAACGGATTTACCTGTAACTCAACAACAAACTCAGTAAAACTGAGTGGGGGCAAATAACGTTCTAAAAACAATGTCTTTAAACGTGCCTCAGATCTTCCATTTTCCTACAACTCTCTGGTATCTCTCTCAGGCTCTATCAATCTCTCTATTGGGGTGATTCCCTTCGGAAAGTCCCTCATTTTTCTTTATTTTCTCCTCTCTTTTTTTGTATTTTTATTATTCTTTTTGCAAGCATTTTGACAAAGGGTTACTTGCTCTTGAATCCTATATTGGGCTTTTGATACCGGTGGGAGTTTCTTTACATTTTTGTAGTATTCATGATTCTCCGGCAGAAACAATTCATGGTCAGTTCCATTTGTAATTCTCCGGCGAATGACATTTTAGAAAGCTATCGACTGTAATGTTTGGGACTCTGTCCTCTTCTATGAATCTATCCCATCTACTATTACCGGTTCTTTGCAATATCTTTTAAAAACCTCTTCTGTCTTTTCTCTCACAGTTTGTGTTTGTGGATTGGAGTTGTGCTTTTCTACTCTTCTTGGTGATTTTTTCAACTTTGTTAGATTGCAAAAATTCATTTATTCTCCTACATCCATTATTTATATATTTTGTTCTTTTAAAAAATTATATTTGAGTTCTGATTGGCAATTCTATGTACTTGAATCAAGCTCAAGTCTTTGGATTCCCCCACAGACTAAATTGATAACTAATATTGATCAGATCAGAGATGAAACGCCCAGGCAAATATCAACGGTTACATTTGAATCGAAAAAAAAAAATCCAGGACCCCTCTGTATACCAATAAAAAAATCACCACCGCCCATCTCAAAGATGACAACAACTCATCAAAATCATAAAGCAAGAGAACAACAAAAGAAGCTTATCTGAGGGCAGGGATGTTAGTAACGTGGGTCGTCAGCGTCTCTACCAGAAACATCGCAGGAGATTGATGAGGAAATGAAAGAGATGGTTGTCTTGATCAAGCAAGTCGGGTCGGATCAACCGTTCCAGATTCAGGTTCCGGGGGAGGACTTCACTGTAGTAGAGTATGGTAGTGACGGACACCACCGGCCGATCCACCAGTGATGAAACCAGCCGAACCAATGGCCGGAAAAACAAGGGCATCAGAAACTGCAACAGAACACATCAATACGCATAAACCCATCAACAAACTTGTATTTAGAGAGAGAGAGTCAGAGAGAGAGAGAGAGAGTACCATGACTCTGAACTTCGAAGAGAGAGAGAGTGTGAAAAGTTGCTCAAGGGAGAGGGAGAGAGTGAGAGAGGGAGAGAGAGCGATGGACGTAATTGGTTGCGACGATTTTCTGAACTGTCAAGTTTCAACGCTTCAGACTCCCCCTCTATCGCTCTTATCTGTGAATCAACTTATCAACTACATATATATCTATTTCAAACCTGTCACGACGGGTGATTATATAGACAAGATGCGCCTCGTTAGGGTTGAACATTGCGCCTATCGACAGACACTCCCATGTCCACAGTTTTAGCTCTTCTCTTACAGAACACAGGAAGAAGCAATTCGACTTTGGCCAGCTACAGCATGTTTTCTTAAAAAGACAAACCTTTTAACTACAACTCACTGTAACTGTAAAGGGGCTTGCCCAAATCAAATACCCTTTTCGTTTTTCACTTTTTGGAAGAAAATTCAGATGATACTACAAGTGGATAATGTAGAGGTGGTGGTTTTGATTTTGCATTGATCCATAGAATTCTGGCTCCTCCTAAGGCCAAGACTTTCACAGCCCGAGAAAGCTTTTCTTTGTTAGATGTTTCAGAGCTTCTTTTGCAGATTTAATTATATTTGTTTAGGTCATTTGGCACTCAAACTGTGGGCAAAGCTGCCAATTGGAAGGTAATAACGCACTTTGGTTGGAGAACGGAGATCTCTGCAATGGATTCAGCTTTCGTACATCGCCGTCTGAATCCTGCTGAGTTACACTCGGCCTTGGGAGTTGGGACTTGGGACAATACAGGTGGATTACCCAAATACGAGGCCCATTGTTTTTTTTTATTTAATTTTGGATAAATGGCCCGCGGTTTTTTCAGGCCTTAAATTAATTAATAGGTCCAAATCCCAACCGTCCAAGACATCCCGTTATTTGTGGAACCTGAGGCTAAATTTGGCAGTTGGGTCTGAGACAAGGGATGACCATGACCTTCAGTAGGAAGTTGGAAGTTGGAAGTTGGAACCCTGACCCATTGATTTAATAAGTTGAATAATTGGAAAGCTCAAAGCTATGTGCTTGTATCAACGTCGGAAGTTAATTAGTTCTTATTCAATCTATTCTATTCTGCAGGAACTACCAAATTACAGTTTGTTCTGTAGTCCAATTTACTAAAATAATCTTTTGGCGTTTTTGTTTTGCTTTTTTAATTTTTCATCTCTTTGAAAAAATTAAAAACCTTTACAAATCCAAAATACCTTATAAAGAATGGGTGTTTTCCTATGAGGATTCTAAACCCTTTTTCCCTTGTTTGAAAAGCTCTGGACTGATTCTAAATCAGGTTAACTTACAGTCAATAATGTGTATTACTCAATTTGGTGGGTTAGAAGGATCTCTAAATTTTAGTTGAAAGGGTATGGAAACTGAAAATCCTTCAATATATAAATCGTTTCTTTATGGAAAGTTAATAGAGGGGTACTCCTTCCAAGATTCAAACCGTTTTGATGGAGAGTTTGTGTATGTAGAGGTATATTCCTTGTAAAGCCGTGTTTTTCATGGTGAAGAAGCCAAAAGCCGGTAAAAGAAGAAGAAAAGAAAAAAAAAAAACCCAAACAGCTCAAATTGGGCTTTTTAACTTTTCTACATTTAAAAGAAGATATTTTGAACAAAAAAAAGCTGGTGTCTAAAAAAAGAAGATATTTAGAAACCCTTTTAGGCCAAAATGCACTCCCAAATACAGCCTAGGAAGGTTTAGATGGCACAGAGCACGCTCCACATGCATATCTCAGTGAACATTGGGAATATCTTCTGTACTTGTCATATAGAGATGTTACTAATACACAGTTCGGATGTGCCATGGGGCACCCATGCAAACTTGCCTAGCTGCAATTTGCATTGGGTTAGCCCGAATCCAACCTAAAAGATGAGTTGGGTCAGGTTTAAAATTTATGAACCTGACTTAAATATTATATAAACAAATTTATTTATATGTGCAAATACATGTGTATGTATGCATATATACATACCAATGCATTTATTTATGTCAACAAATTTCAGTTTAAAGGAAAGCATGCTAATCATTCCTCTTATTTCTATATAAAAAATGGATATCTGCCTTGGGTTTTATGCAGTTCATAAAAGTGAAATCTAAATATCATATATCATATATAGATAATATTTGCACATGTACATAATATGTACACTTACACTAGTATTGATGATGGGTAATTTGGTCTTTCAATGATATCAAGACACATGACATTGCAAAATAACAGAGCGGCACTTCGGCACCACATAAGCAAACCCCAATAGCACTTTGGACACTTCACAATTGCATCAATGACCTCAGCACCTGCTTGCATAGAGTCCACCTCCAGGCATGAAACCACCTCCGAACCAGACAAACCAGAGATCTCGGATGCATTTCGTGAGGCTCATGGAAGCTTCCCTATATAAGGGCCTCACCTCCAACCTCATAAGGTACGTGTGATTTAACACTCAATATTTTTATCTTTCTCTCGCATTCTAGCTTTTTGAGAACTCTAGTTTACTAACTTAAGCATCGGAGTGCCCACACCGGGTAAAGCAGCCCAAGTATTTTAATTTTTTCTCTCTTTCTTAACAACATGACCAAGTGACCTACCTAATCCGGCGTCCGAACTTTCTGCCAACAGGGAGCGTCAGATCACGTACCATCAGGCATATAATAATATTAAAAATTAATTGACCTCAATCCTTGAGTTTAAGAAATAAGAACACTTAGCAAGAGAAAATAGAGAAATTGGACCAACTTGGACCCAACTTTGGATTGGATTAGGGATTCAACAACTTAGGTTGGGTTAGGGTTGACTTGAACCCAATCTAACCCAACCCTTACTTGCACTCTTACTTGCATGAGTATCTTGTTATATAGGGGTTAGGGGTGCTCATGGTTCGGTTAACCGAACCGTGGGGCATTTTTTGGAACTGAATCAGTACTATCGGTTTTTGGAAAACCAGTAACCGGAAGTGAACTAAAGCCAGTCGGTTAACCAGTTGACCGGTTCAATTAACCGTCAGCTCAACTTGTCAGATTTTTGGTTTTTTAGCTTTTACAATATATATTATAAAAAGTATATATAAATATATAATAAAAAATCATAAATATATAAAATATTCTATTTTAAATAATAAATAATATATTATAAATATATATTTATATATAAAATGCATATTTATTAATTTAAAATATATAAAAATATAAAATATATATATATATATATATAATATACATAAATATATATAAAATATTTTTAAATATATGTATATTGGTTAATTCGGTTAACCGTCGATTTTCTATATTAGTTAACCAAAACCGAACCGGTACCTTCGGTTTTTTAAAAACACCAAACCGACCATTTTGTTTAATCAATTTTTCAGTTTGGTTTCGGTTGATTCGGTTTTTCGGTTTTTTTTACTCACCCTAATAGAGATTTAGTTAAGGGTTAATTATCTATACATACCCTGTATATTTGAGAAACTACTAATATATACCCGGAGATTTCAAAACCAACTTAAACATGACTTGTTGACCTTTCAAAGGTTAAATCCAATAACAAATAAAACGTAAAAGACAAAAATGACATTAATTCTACATTAAAATTTCAAAACATGTAATTTTCTTTCTTTTTTTCTCTTTCCTTTCTTTCTCCCTTCCTTTCTTCAATGTTACAACAGCACTATACCTAGTTTGGCCGCTGGTGATATTTTTTTCAGAGAATTTCGAACACGCCCAATGCAGATTTCTGATTTTCACTGCAGAGCTATAAATATTCAAAAGGTCAAAAACCCACATTCTATGCATCCATACCTTCCCGTAAATTGACATCAATTCCAAGTTGACACCTACCTCAAATGTACTTTGAGCCTACAAATTCTGACCCTGGGCTGAATCATCATTCTCCTTATTTTTTAGGGGTATTTGGTGCTATAACCATTTATAAGTTCCCCCTGACCCCGAATTGTGACATGCTCATCACACAGGCAGCACCTCACAGTGATATTACAAGCACATCTCATCTTGCATTGGGAACATCTCCCATGAATAATAACGTATAATTACGGGAGATGTTTCCAATGCATGGTGGAATGTGTTTGTGAGGTTGGTGTGAAGCACCCACTATCTGAGAAGTAGATCCAGTCTCCTTAACCCTTTTCTTTTTCCCTAAAGTACTGGTTGTGGGATTTGATTCGACATCAATGCTAGAACAAACCAACTAACACACCAACGAGCCAGCCCTCGGTTGGTGTGTCCACTGGTGACATGTGTTTCCGAGAATCCCCAAATGCACAACCGAAGTTCACAAGATTAAAGTTGTGTCGTGTAATTCTAGATGTACTCGACCTGGACTGATTGAACAGAAACACATGACTGAAAAATCCCCAAATGTCTGAAACACCACTATTGGTTGGTTTGTCTACCAGTGACATGTTCATTGGAAAGACACATGTGTGTCTGAAAAATCCCCAAAAAAAATTTTATAACTCAGAACCCCAAATTAGTGGCTCCTCCATTGGGGTGCAAATAGATCGGATCATGTATTTGATCGAATTTGGATCATCCCTGGTTGGATCTTTGGATCAGATCGGATCACCCCACTATCCGATCTAATGTGTTATATATTTATAAATATATAATATATATTTGTTATCTATTTATTTATTTATAAATATATTATTTATATTGTATTTTTATAAATTTATTATATTATTTATTTTTTAAAAAAACATGTATATATGATAAAAATAATTAAAAAATACTTGTATTTTTTGTTTTTTATTTAAATTGGTAAATTTTATTTTTTCTTTTAATAATTTATTAACTTTTAAAGAAAGCAAGTCGTATCAAATCAGATCCAAAGATCCAATAGGATTCGAATTCAGATGAAGTCCTATTAGATCTGACATGAATAATGTTGGACCGGATTCGAATATACCCTTATTCAAATCTGATCATATCCGTTTACATCCCTATTCCTCCAAAACCCAAAATTTCAAAACAATCATAAAACTTTTGGCATGGTCACTAAGGTTATGTTTGGTTTGAAGGAAAAGGTAAGGAAATCCATACAAGGTTTGTAAAGATTTTCCTACTTTTCTTTCCTTTCTTACTTTTTCCTTCAAACCAAATACAGTGTAAGATAAAGAGTTTGACTTGGGGAATAGACAAAAAAGCTGGACGATATGAAAATGGGAGAAGATTGAAAATGTTTCAAGAGTTTGATGACAAAATATGGTCATCCAGCCCGGCTTCTCACGTTCTCATACTTAAAAACCAGTCATATTATCTTCTTGTTTAATTAGAGAAGGATTTTAGTTGAAAATTTAAAAAAATTGGATGAAAAACAACCGATTCAGTTGTTATGTTCATGGTTTTAAAAGTTTTTTTTTAAACATTCCTTAGGCTCCCTAAATTGATATTATAAAAGCATTTGGTGTAAGCTATTAATGATTCTTAAATGGTTCATTGACCAGATGTCTTATTTGTGTTATGTGGGGCCGGTCAACAAAGCACATATAAGTTATTCTTAAATGTTCAAGGTATATAAAAAGTAGTTTTTCAAATGTACA